GAATAAACACGGAAAGTCGGCCAGATTGAAAAATTCTCGCACAATGGGAAAATTGGGGAACGCTGTTTTTTTTTAGATTGGGCCCTTGATTTTACGTTATTCCATCATGTTCTACTCACCCATATGAGTTTTGTGTCATTTGGAGCCGTTCTGAAGATATTGTGTTAGGTTATATCTAGTAACGTCTTCCTATGGGCAACGACTTGAAGGCTCAAACTAAACTGTTCATTATTTATTCTTTATGGTACGCCAGCATTCATAACATGTAGGCCAATCACTGTCCCCCAGACATCCACGGTTATATTTGTTATATTTCTATTTTTTTTAAACAAAGCGGAGTGTGTATGACGTCATCTGCGAGCGCCAGCTACCATTCATTCTTTCTGTCCGCTGAACTGCTGCTAGTTTTCCTCACATTCCTGGAAGATGTCTAGTGCTGCTACCACAGATGATCTCGCTCTCCAATTGTAATTGAACGATTCAGATTAGCTAGAATGAATAGAAGGGGTAGAGCGTAGCCGCCTGTGACCCGGGCTGCCTGTCGCAACCCCAGTCCGGCGTACGGATGACGTCATACACGCGCCGCTTTGTTTTTAAAACGTATAAATATAAAAAATATAACAGCAAAAGCACAGCTCTATCTGCCAGAGTGGCGGTGCAGACGTAGCCCATCTTCCCTCATTGTTTTAGGTAAATTATTATTATTATTTTTTTTTAAATCAATATTGGGAAATAAAAAAATCGACCAAAAATCACAATATATCGCCAAATTGATTTTTCCCCACACCCCTAATGGAGTTCCCATCCTGCTTAGTGAAATGTAAATGAGTCTGTCATCAGCGTATCAATGGAAGTAAACGCATTATTATTGAGCTAAGGGGAGGAAGATAAAGGGCAAAAACAAGAGGGCCTTAGACTGAGCCCTGTGGCCCCCCACGGTATAAGGGAACAATTTGTGAATTCATCTTTTTTTCTGTTGCACAGAAGATTATGTAATTTATTATGACTTTTCTTTAACTGTTGTGAAGGCTGGTGATGAATACTTTACCAAAGGAGATCCCTCCATGAAATGTTTGGGAACCACAAACAGATGTTGTTGTTTAAAAACTTAGGCCCCGTCCACACGAAGTCAAACCCTGGCCTAAACGCACACATTTTTCACCAAACCAGCCTCTCATCCATACGAAG